TACATTTCATTTAGGATTATTGTATTTTGTAATATATTATAATTATTGGAAAGAGGTACTTACTGTATTTAGTATAAGTCCAAGAATGAAATATTTGATTTTAAATTATTTTATACTTAGGTACCGAAAGTGACGAAAGTCGTCTTGTCGTCGTAGTATGCATAGGCGCTATTTGGGGTGTAAGTAGCACCACCAAATTTTTTATAACATCATCGAATTCGTACTGACTATAATATTATGCCATATTATATAGGTAGGTACTTGCATACAATTATTTCTAAGAACCTATCATTTTCATAATATAGGGTGTCTCAAAAAGAACGCCGAATTTAAATCTGCTATACATTACATTTATTTTTCTTAAAAAAACATTACAAATATATCATTCTCTTCAATATAAATTGAGGTTTAACAGTGAAAAACAACATCGGGCATATGACCCCCCTACTAGCCCTACAGGCGATTATTCTTTCCATAAAATTTACCATCACTCGATCACACATTGCCCCAGCAAGTTCGTTGAGTATATGAATGGGAATTCGTTAAAAGGGACCCAAGTTACATTTTTGACAAAAATAGTTTTGTTGTATATTATTCATCCTCTTATGTAAACACATATTATATGCTTATAATTTGTAAATCAAAGACTGATTCAATAAAATTAGGTACATAAGTTTTTATTTTTTTTTAATTTTAATAAAAAAATATTGTTTTTTTTTAAGATTGTTATTCGTTTGTTTGTATTCAAAGTTTGTTATTTGGTTACATTGTTATCTATTTAATTGGATAAAATAAATAAAAAAGTATTATATTGTTTTCAAATGTGACTATTATGTTAAACTATGATAACTTAAATTAATACAATTATTAGAATTTGTCTAAAGGTACCTATGTCACAAAAATTCGTAATTTATAAAAGTAAAATTTTTTTTTGCTATTTATTTTTTGTACAATACTATTTAATCTAAATCGTAATGATTGATCGTATTACCTACTCAAATAGAAATAAACGAAATCTTTTTTTTGTTTCTCCTGACAAATAGTTAAAAATGTACATATGGATTTAACAAATTGTCATTCATATAATATAATTTAAAATAATACTTTTTAATAGTAAATATTATAATATAATATAAGATTATTTAAAACAATGATCTCTTCAATTCTATTGACTAGAAGATGCTAATTGATCAGTTATTTCATCTTTTCGAATACATTTGATTAAATATTCTTGTAAAAATAAGAGCATTAGTGGTTCAAGAAGTTCTTGACTGATAGACGATCTTAGTTTCGTTTTTAGAATTTTCAATTTTGAAAACTCACGTTCACATGAAACTTGCAGTGGATATTTCAACTAATATACTGGGCGACAGAAATGACGTCTAGAGAAAACTTTTTATCGCCCAGTAGATGATATATTTAATTAGGTACCGGGCGACACAGATTTTTGTAAAAATGTCGATGTTTGAAATTATTATATAATTTTATTTATTGATTATTTATTATGTTTGATATTGTTATTTATTTATGACTTATATCATTTGAATGATGTTTGACAAATAATTATTGAGAATGAAAAACCCATGTGATCCATAGAATAATATAAGTACAATGTGACATGTTTCATCTGGTCGTCCCGGCAATTATCTACAAATTGATTTGTTTTGATTTCATTTTACTATTTTAGTCCTTGTTCCTACAAGATATTTGCCAAATAATTATTTCATTTTGAACCGTTCAATCCGTCAAGGTAACTACCTACGAATACGTCATACGAATTCATAGGCTCAATTTGGGTTAAATTTATGTGGCTGCTATATTTATGTCGACTAAAGTGATCAGTGGAGGGCTTTGCCCGCCACACCCCTTCCATTTATACACCTTAATTTTATGCACCTTCGCATTAATCTTAGTATAAACAATTTATTATCCAACATAATACATGATGGTCCATATATTATTTATTTATTTATTAATTAATTCATGGAATAAAAAATTCCTTATTTAGTACAGAACATAACAATAATTCAGTAAAATAAGATAGCTAACATATACAAAGGCGATGGCCAAAAAATACAGCAGAATAACAGGCACAGTAAATATAATTACTGTTATTGTTATTGTTCTAATATTATTATAATAAAGGGTGTCTCAATAAGAACGCTGGATTTAAATCTGCTATACATTACATTTATTTTTCTTAAAAAAACATTACAAATATATCATTCTCTTCAGGATAAATTGAGGTTTAACAGTGAAAAACAACATCGGGCATATGACCCCCCTACTAGCCCTACAGGCGATTATTCTTTCCATAAAATTTAACATCACTCGATCACACATTGCCCCAGCAAGTTCGTTGAGGACACGAATAATTTCTTGCTTAAGTTCCAAGACGTTTCGGATTTTGTTCTGGTAAACTTGTGACTTAGTGTATCCCCATAAGAAAAAATCACACGGCGTCAAGTCGCAAGATCTTCCCGGACACACTAATCTCGCTGCGTGGAGACCAAAGCTACCCACCTCAATCTTGCGACTTGACGCCGTGTGATTTTTTCTTATGGGGATACACTAAGTCACAAGTTTACCAGAACAAAGTCCGAAACGTCTTGGAACTTAAGCAAGAAATTATTCGTGTCCTCAACGAACTTGCTGGGGCAATGTGTGATCGAGTGATGTTAAATTTTACTTAATTATATCAACAACTTATTTTATAATTCATACGATTTAAAATGATTGCTATAACGTATGAGGTTAGATGCAATAATGTAAACCTTTTATCACAATGTGATTAGTATAATAATTAATAAATCTTTACGTTGGTGCAACATTTTAACTTGCTATAAGATTAAAAAAAACTATTGTTTGTTCTAACTTCTAACAAAACAAATTATTATAGAAAAAAAAAATTCGCAAGGGATTTATAAAGACCAGCTATTGAGTTAATGTCGATAACAGAATTATGAGCAGGCGATTGTGGCAGGTCGTTCCGCATACACATATACATATTATATTATATAATAAGATAGTGTAGAGTGTGCGTGTTTGGTCGGCCAGTACCTAGACGACGACCGAAACAGTCGCACAGCTCTACATGGAATTTTAATGAAATAACACAAAAATAAATCACACAATATTCAATAAATAAATAAATAAATATTGTACAGATATTATAAAATCTAATATTTAGAAATAGTATGTAATAATATTGTGCAAGGCCAGATTAACAACCTTTTGGGCCCCGGGGCTGAAATTTCATATGGGCCCTTTTGACAAAACATGCTATACAAAGCCGTTCTCTACGCCCTCAGCAACATACATTTTATTAACTATTTCACAAATTGACAATTTATTGTATTATATAATTATAAAATTAATAGGTAAATGTAATTTATGTCTAATAAGCCTACTCATTTGATTGTAGTATAATAAAAGTCAATACTTCATTACTTTAAATTTCATTCATTTAAATTCAAATTTTCATAATAACTTTTAAATGTATTAACAGTAACTCATTTACATCAAATATCAAACAAAAGTTAATATATAAAACAAAAACCATTTTATCAAATAATTTTTTTTCTTGCTTTACTACTTGAAGCCAACTCTCTTAGTACTTCATTTATGTCTTATGATTTTAACATTTTAACATATCATTCTCAGAATATAAAATCATAAGTATGTCTAAGTGTTCTTGGGTTTGACTGGTTGTATACTTCTTTTTTACTCAAGTTAACTTAGAAAAAGCTCTCTCCGTACATAAATAACATTATTAACTATTGATGATATTATTGATGAAAATGAAAATATTAACTAACAGTTAAATAGCGCTTTTATATTTATTTACTATTTAGTTATTTTTGTTGATAAAAAAAATTTTTAAAATATAGAAAAACTTTTCTTTAAAATCACTAAAAAAATGTGTATCAGCTTAAAATTGTTTGGGCCCCTTTCATTTTGGTACTTGAGAGGGCCCCGGGGCTTCCTCCCCAACTAGACTCCCCCTTAATCTGGCTTTGATATTGTCTAATATATTGTTCATAATATTTATGAAAGCTTCAATTTTATATTTTGTTTACAGTTGTTATTTATTTTCGCTTACATTATTCATGGCATTATATTAAATCATTGTTTGATGTTTATAAAAACAAAAATATTTCATTTTATAACAAATTATTTTCAGTAATTACCTATATTTATATTTGTTTTTTAAAGAAGTGAAATAAAATCATGCGATTATACAATATAGTTAATTATTAACTTAGGCGATGGTGATAGTAGCGTAACGAAACGTTTAAATGATATACTTCCATACGGCCATGCACTAATAGTAGAAAAAAATTGAATGTCGGAATCATTTACTTTGAAATTATTCCGAAAAAATGGTGGCCTTAAGTAAACGAACTGATATGCCAATTGATATCAGGAAAAAAATATCCGAAAATATTCTTAGGCTAAGAACCGATATCACTTGTGCCATAAAATATCGAAAATCACAAAATGCACCACTATCTAAAAAGATATCAGGTAAAGTTTAGTTGCATTATTTCGAGCATTATAACGAGCATTATTTCAAGTACCAATAAATTAACAATGTATTTATTTTATTTTAGCACTTAGATTTGATATAAATAATGGTTAAATCCTTCAAAAACATAAAATGTTCTGATTTGTAGGAAAAATAGGAAAATATTTTTTGAAACGAACGTTGGATAAATGTAATTTATGCCAAAAAAGACGACGAACAATAAAAAAAATTGATAAAATAAGTTCCAAAACATCAGGGAGGGCTGATAAAGATTATGGAAATGCTGAACCGTTGGACAATGTAAGAAACATAAACAATGCCGACTTAATTAAAGAAATGGATACATTTTTGAAGTAATTCATAAAACAATCAATATTCTGTTATTTATAAATGAAGATGATACTAAACATTTTTTTATCATAGAACACTGAATGAAGTTAATTGAAACTCGAGATCAAGCAGCTAGCGAAACATGTGGAGACTTGAAAGATTGTCCAGACTTACTGCAATTAATTTTGGTAAAAATACTATATATCCAATTTTGTACAATAGCTTCAATAGCAAGTATGTTATTAATGCAATACATTTTTTTTTAATTTATATAATTTAACATATCACAATATTTTTAACAGATCAGTACAGTATGGTTGGGATATGGAAAACATAGCAAAAAAACATTTTGAGCAGTTATATGGTATTCATGTCAATGCATGTGGTTTATGCATAGATAAAGATTATCCATACCTCGCTGCAAGTCCTGGTAAGTCAATTTATTAATTTAATTAAAATTAATTTATAATAAATTAATGGAAATGGTAATTCACACTATTATTCAGATGCTATGACCGATAATAATAAAGTTGTAGAAATTAAAGCACCTTTTGCAGCGAAAGACACTTTGAATATACATGAAGCTGTCGAAAGTTGTAAAGTTAGTAGAATTTCAGTAAATAAATCTAATAAAATTCTATATTATTTTGGTATTATAATATAATGTTTTAATATAGATCAAATATTGTACCATTGACAATGGTAAACTTAAATTAAAAAGAACACACGATTACTTTTATCAGATTCAGGGGCAACTTCTAGGGGCTAACACTCACCTACCGTTAAAATAACCTACAGTACCAACCCCCCTCCCAATGGCCTAAGTTGCCGCGGGATAATTAATAAAAAAAAAATATATATATTTGTAATTACTTATTATCATATTTTAATATAACATTAACAGTTGAACTTAAAAAATAATACATGGTAAATTAATATTAATTTAATTGCGCTGTGTTTATTTTATTTACCATTTATTAGATTTTACTATAAGTATTATATTTAAATAAGTAATAATTCAATAACTATAATTCAAGCTATGTTATAATACAGTTTCTATGACCTATATGTTGGGACATAAATTTAAGTAAACAGTATCTTAATTTATAATCTGTAGTTCGTAGGTACGCGGGGGTATTGAAAATATTACGGTGGCATTTGCGTATAATGAATTTTATAATGATACGAACGGTACTGGACGAACGTTCATAGACAAATAAACGGCGCTCCCGAAGTCCCGAACAAGCACTGGTCGCCGCTGGAGTGACTTAAACGCCGCGCGCTCGCGGATCGTGAAAACACCTAACAGCGCATCCTCTCGGTCGTTGCATGCGTACAGGTTTGGGTGACACGTCCTCTTAATCATATTCAATAATCGAAATTACAGGCCCGTGATAACTGAAATATGATACGTATGTCTGTGATGTAATTTTTTCCAAATATCTTGAAAATACTGCATCGATAGTGGTGTCATCTCTCGTTGTAGTCTTGTAGATTCTGCTGGATTGTCCATCATATGTAAATTGAATGTGTCCATAAGGAAAGTTTTAAAAGTTTCCGATTTCTTATTTCATTAAAGTTGATGTTAAAGTCACCGAATTGAATAAATTATAATGATTGTAAATGCATCATATGCAGATCTAATTTCGCTGTTTCAAATCTTATCGCGTTACACCCGTTTTCTATTATACCTACATAGTCTATACCAAACACGATACACAAAAAAATGTAATCACGGCAAAGGTAAAGCGCTATATAGGGATATATGCAACAATCAGATTATTCTACGAAAACAATTTCATGAAATAAAAACGTTTAATCGTCATGCAAGGAGATTATAATAATATGCATAATATAACATGTAACCAAAGGTTTATATGCTTTGTAAGGACCGTGGTATAGATTTCAGTGTCTGGTTGTGCATGGAATACGCGTGATATACGCGCCCAGCACTACTGAGGATTTCCACTTTTTCCCCCTGCACTATGGGGATTCCCATTGGCCATTCCCACTTTACGGCCCACTAGATGGAAAAAGGTCACTTTCCAATGCTTTAACCGCTGTCGAAAACCAAACTTGCGGTGCAGGCGTGACAAAAAATATATTACCTACATACGATTCAATACTTATATATATATATTATATACTTATTACATATTATATTATATTTTATTAATTATACCTAATAATTATAAATGCATAATGTACGTAGTGTAGCGTTGTATTATCAATAATTATATATATTATATAGGTACTTATTACATATTATATTATATTTTATTAACTAGGACTGCAAGAAATTGAGCTGAGCGAGTTGAACACACCGAAGCTAATTGAACTTATATTTGCTCCTTTTCTTAATCGAGGCATGTTTCAAGTAGGTATATTTGTTGTGAAATTATTGATTTATGCCGGATCTATGTTTCTATGGAAACAAAATTATTTTATCAAAATTAGTTTAAATTTAGTTTTTCGGTGATTATTCCTCGATGGTAGGTCGGACATCGATCAAAACCACTTGTTGACACTCAGCGATGTCCACACTATCACCGTGCCAAGTTTGGTTCAGATCGGTTATACCTAATAATTATAAATGCATAATATACGTAGTGTAGCGGTGTATTATCAATAATTATAATATCAATATACGCAAGATGTTTATAATCAATCTATTGCGGATCGTCTTTACAACTTATCGCCCATGCTTTTTTTTCTGTTCCATCCTACCAATCGATTTAATGTTTGCGTGTAGATTAGACCTCTGGGAAGAAGACAGGCTAATTTAAAAATGGTTAAATTTTATTTTTTTATTCATCGGATTTTAGAACTGTTAGGGTTAGGTTAGGATTTAACTACTTTGTACCATGGTACTAATTGTTTTAATTATCTTTCAGCAATATATGCAGTATAGTCTAATTTGCTACCAAAGCCCACCCTTAATATTGAAAATTGAAGCATTTATTCTGATCCAAAAGTCACTTTACTCAAAATCTAAAATATACAAAAAATATCATATGATTGAGAATACACAGAAAAAAGTGTCTACAAAATGTGAAGTAAATAAATCTTATAGTGTTTAAAAAATACGGTTTGCTTAAAAACAGACGTATCTAAACATATTAAAAATAAAATGTCCTTCTTCTTGTAGAATGTAGATCATAATCATAATATGCAATGTAATATTTTGCCAAAGTCGGTGAAAAAACCTGTAAAATAATAATTTATACGAGTATACGGTGTTATTTATTAATGAAAAAAATCACATAATTTTGTTATAATAAAATTATATAATATTGTAACACCATACGCTAAAACGAAATAAAATAAAATTTGAAAAATTATAATGACAGACGGCCGACGCTGGCCTCGTCGTCCACGTCCTGTTGGCCCGGGTCGGTGACCGGAGCGGCCGGCGCCGCGTGCACGACGCTGACGCGCTGAACGGCGGGCCGTTATAATTATTCTCGTTTTATTCACGAAATGGAAGACTTCGACTTGCTTGAAAATCTAGCCGCGATAGAAGCACTATAAATTATCGAAGAAGCTGCCGAATACTATAGACAAGTGTATACTAATAGAAACCCTTTTTAAGGTAAGTTCTTACAATTCAAATTTTATTTTTTAGTATCATGATATAAAGTTTGAAAAGATAGTCCTGGGTGTTGGAAATATAACTTATAAGTAAATTTAATGTTTTTAAATTATATAGAATTTTCCGAAAGGAAATTTATTATGACGTATCGACTACCCATGAAAAAATTTAATGAAACGTGTCATTAATATGGTATCTCCTTACATGGAACCTCCAGCGACATCAAGAGGCCTAACAATTGAACGAAAAGTTTGTTAATTCTTATTTTTATAGCATATAGATTATAGGTACATAAACTGAATTTTGAACATAATAATATTATAATATATTAAATTATTGTTCCTATATAGTATTATAGTAAGATAGAATTCCACCATAATTCGTTTAAATGTATGGACGACTATACGATGTAGCTGCCATGTAGGTATACGTATTTTAAAATATATTATGTATTTTAATATATTATCACTTATGATAATTCCTATGTAAAGTTACTCTACAACTGAATCATTAGATAAACTTTATGATAAGTATTTTAAAGATTGTTGATGATACTTCCAACTTTGTAAGAGATATTCTTGACTCATAGGAGCCCCATGCTTTTCGTTTTTTGTAATTCACAAGTTTTAAAAATTTTGCAACAAATAGATTTTAGATACACTTTTAGTAATATCTTGATAACCTTGAAATTTCATTAAGAAATTGTTTTAAAAGTAAGTTTATTTTCAACTTTTTAGTTCATGTATTAAGTAGAATTAAGAAAAGCATGTTTTTAAAAAAAAATTTAATTTTTTTTTTTATTTCCTACTTTTTAGTGATAACAATAAATTAGAAAGTATAACTTAGCGGGTATTTCACTTAGAGACCCCGGACCGAGGGGATCTCAGTTTTTAAGGCCCCAGATGAATTTCCACCATTAGGGAACCAAAGCCCCCACCCCCCACATTTTGAGTTAGCCCCGAATTGACAACGGGGTCATGTATTGTCACCGACCCTAGACCTCCATACAAAATTTGAGCCTCCTAGGTCATGTAGAAGTGATTTAAATTGAACTCGCAAGATTTGATGATAACAGAAATGAATGAATGAATGAAACGTTGTGAGTTAAAGAAAAGAGACTATAAGAGACTATAATTAAAATATAACATACATGCTACGACCACATATTTTTTTTCTACAACCTACAAAAAAATTTTGCAATTTGGCACTTTCATTTTTGACTTTCGGCATTTATAAAACAAAAATCACAATCATTTTACTAAAATCACCCAGAAAACAGTCTAATAAGTGGTAATGCACGGACAGCTGAACGGTTTTACGACGTAGAAATAATTAGCATTGTGCATAATACACTGATCCCCGACAAATTATATCTTATCTTGGATTTTATATTGATACCCAGGGCCGTCCTGACGATTTTCAGGGCCCAGGGCAGAGTAAAATTGCGGGGCCTAAAATGTCATTACTCATTGTTGGCAGTGGCATATATTTAATATTATGATAATACCTATATACTTAGGTAAGGGGGTAACACTCAAATATACTTAAAAATATATTACATTGTACTTACAACAATTATTGTTATTTATTTTACATAAATAAAGTAAATTAACTAATAACAAAACACGTCATTATAATTAAACTTAATATAATAATATTTATAAATTAATAAGTCTATAAATAAAAAATTCTCAAGGATAAAACCAGCTCAAAAATAGTCAAAATATTGTAAAAATGTTTTAAGGAAAATACTTATATAAATATTTGTTGGAAATGTCAAAGTTCTACAGTCATTAATTTTTGAGTAATCATTATACCTTTTAATAGCTTTCGATATAGTTTTTATGTATATATATTTTTGAAATTAGTTTATTTAATATTACCTAGTTATTAATAATCATTTATATAGTTACCAGCTGATAGCATTTCGTTGCAAGTAAAAAAAACTACAACATTTAAAAAAATTGTGACTGCTCATCTTTTTTTGGGTGCAACTCAGCCTCCCTGGTTAGGTTATGTGACAGCATATGAAGTAGGCAATGTGCGAAAATTTGATTTGATGTACGCTTGCACCTGATTTTCCAGATTAACCAATGTCAACCAAACAATAAATACTAATTTCTACTAATTATTTCTCCTATAACCAATAGCAGTCATTTATAAACGAAAATTTCCACCGTAAATCTCAAAATTCCCGTT